CCATGGTGGGGTCGCTGTGAGTCAGCATTGACTCGATGACAGTGAGTTTGTTTGGGGGTTCCCAGGGTTTCTCCCATGGGTTCAAACTGCTGGTCTTGCGGTTAGCAGCCCCCAAAATTACCCACTCCGCCACCAGAACTCCTAGAAGTTAAGGAAGAACATTCAGTAGAAGCAACAGGGCTGTTTTGGAGAGACAAAACATTAAGCCTTTTCTCTAACTCGGCCCTGGCATGGTTGTTTTGGGAATTAAGTAAGACAACCTGCCCAGATACAGCCCACAGCACAGAGCCTGTCTACAGTTCACAGAGATAGTACCAGCAGCAGTGACACAAATTCTCCTTCTTGCTCTTCATCCCACCTTGATTCCTAGGGCCACTGTTTGCCTCTGTCATCTTCTGAGTCAATGTAGATGTCCAATGGACAAATGATTTCACGAATAGATGTCGCCTTTGATAAGTAAAAAAGTACCTCTTCTACTAAGGAACAACCTTGAGCCTGGGTCAAGGTTTTGTGTGTAGCCTGTGGACCAGCTTTCTCCCCCATAGACCCTTTTAGTTTTTCACTTTTGTACAGTGTACAGACTGCCCAGCTGAGCAAGGGCCCACACTCTTGATTTGGCACCAATGTATGGTTCCCAATGAAACACAAACCCCCGCACGTCTCCCAGGCTCCCTGTTCCCAGGACGCCTGTGTGCTGTTCCTTCTTACCTGGCTGCGTTTTCCAGGTTTAAGGCTCTCTGCCAATCAGCTGCTTAAGCCCCAAGTCCATGGCAACTCTTCTGCAAATCCTCCTGCAGCACACCCAGAGCTGAACACTGACTGTGTCCTCTGCCCTCCCAGCAGCCTGCTCTTTATCCTCTGCCACGGGCCACATCACCTGGTATCAGCCCTCCTATCCTCACCCCCACCAGCGCTTGTGGCTTTTCCAGCTCCTTGTCTTCTCAGAAACAGAGCCTGGCATCTAGTAGACCTTAATAAATGCGTGTGAAACAAAATAGCGAATGAATCAATGTGGCAGGGAGGGGGGGAGGAGTAGAAAAAAATGAGAGAAGACATTCCACTGCTCGCAAACCCACCTGTGTTTGCTTTGACTTGTGCAGTTAAAACGGAAGGGAGAAAAGCTCAGTCTAAGACGATTTGAAACAAAGTAGCTTCCTTTCTCAACACCCTCACATTTGAGAAGTGTCTTTAAAAAAAATTTTTTTTTTTTTAACTACAGGGCCTGATCTTCTTTGCTATGACAAAATGAGGTTGAGGTTTCATTGTTTCCTTGTGTCTGTTTGGTCCCTCTGTTCCTAGACTGACCTGGGGGCATTCAGGCGAATTCTCTCCCTTCTTTACAAACAGGCTGGGTCTGAGGTGTTACAAAATACAAACAAAATTGTGTCCACCGCAGGGGGTGAAGAGGTACCACGCACACATACACGAAGTAGTCTTGTAAACCATAATCTCTAAGCGTGTGTCTCTAATGCCCTGGGGGTCGGGGTAGGGGAGCTGGATGTCCTTTGCTATGTTGATTCCGCAGGATTAGTGTAGGGTGTGTCTTCCCTCCATTTTTTTATTTTTTGAGATATAAAGGAGATTAAACAAGGGAGTGAGAGAAGCCGAGATAAGGGAAGAGAAATGCAAGAGCTGTGAAGACAGCCCCTTTCTCCCGAGCCTACAATGAGGGAAGCATTCCTCTCAGAGGTTCTCAACCTGTGGGTCACGATCCCTTTGGGGGGTCGAACAACCCTCACAGGGTCACCTAAGACCATCAGAAAACACATAACTATTTCACAATATACAATTACATATTGCTTTGTGATTAATCACTATGCTTTAATTATGTTTAGTTATGTTCAATTTGTAACAATGAAAATACATCCTGCATATCAGATATTTACATGATGATTCATCACAGTAGCAAAATGACAGTGATGAAGTAGCAACAAAAAGAACATTGTGGTTGGGGTTCACCACCACTTGAGGAACTGTATGAAAGGGTCGTGGCATTAGGAAGGTTGAGAACCCCTGCTCTAGAGCCAGTGCCCTGAATTTGGGCCTTGGGTCTCCTAATGGTGAGAAAATGCATTTCTTTGTTCGAGCCCTCACTGGGGCTCTTTCTGTTATTGCAGCACTCGATAACGAAAACACTGGGCACGAACTGCCCTCAGCTGCAAGCTCTAAGTATTCCTGGCAGTCGGTTTGGGCATTTCTATGGGCCAACGGGATGAGGTCATCGCCACCAATGAAGTCAGGGCTGCATGATTCATCGGACATCAGTTCTCCAGTTGCAGTGCACTGACTTTCACAGAGCTCCTCCTAGCGCACCCAGAACCCGGCATCTGTGGCCATCTTCAAGGTTCCGGACTCCTACTAAATGCCTGCCCCTTAGGGAAGCAGTTTGAAATCTGGGAACTGGAAGTGCTAATGGGGAGGAGACTTAGAGAAAGTCCTCCCTTATAGACTGGGGGCAGCCTTTGCCCTCCCCTCATGAAGACGCTGCCATTGTCTGCAGCAACTGCTTCCTACCTTTGTCCGGAAGCACAGCCTGAAGGGCCGAATTCTAAAGGACCCAGGTGTCATCCGTGGGATTGCAGATGAGGAAACTGAGGCCCAGTTTCTTAAGGTCTTCTTAAGGGCTTCTGTTAAATCACTTTAGATTTATCTTCTTAAGGTATTCTGTTAAATCATTTTAGAATACGAAACCAAACCAAACTCAATGCCGACTCTCAGCGATCCTATGGACTGGGTAGAACTGCCTCTGATGGGTTTCAGAGACTGTCGGTCACTCAACGGGAGTTTGTCCTCAATGGGAGTTTGTCCTTGTGGCTTCGCACTGCTGACCTTGCCACCAGGAATCCTTTTCCAGAATCCAGTCCCAGCAAATGCTGCTGGTCCTGGAGGTAAAGAAAAGGGCAAACGCTTTTCTCGTCTTTTCTAACAGAAAATGGAAAAGATTGGCTTTGAACCAAGATCAGGAGCCTTGGTGGCTAGTGGGTTACCCACGGGGCTGCTAACTATGAGGTTAACAGTTCCAAACCTCTGGCTGCTCCACAGGAGAAAAATGAGGCTCTCTACTCCCTTAACCCAGAGGCAGTTCTACCTTATCCTGATAGGGTCACTATGAGTCAGAATCAACTCCATGGTTCTAAGTTGTTTTTATTTGTTTGTTTGTTTGTTTGAACCAACATCTATCTGACTTCAAGGCATTATTACACTGCCTTCCTAAACCTGTCATAGAGGGCATGCGAAGAATCTTCCAAAATGCACAACTCACAGCTGCAGGCAATGCACATACCCACACTCAAATGCCAAGGGAGAGTTCTGGTGACTCCAGAAGGAATGTCCAGGAATCCACGTAGTCCAGGGAGAGTGGAAGTCACCGTAGGGGTCTGAGAGTCCTGTCCTCGGAGTCTAGGAAGCGGGGTTGGGGCTATAACAAGTCCCAACGTGGGCTTTGAGTCTGTGAGCGCTGTTAGGAGCCTGGGGAATGCCCACTTGACCGATTTCGGTCTCCGTGTGCTCATCTGCAGTCTGAGGGAGATGCTCCCAGTTTACACCTGCTCTGGGGTTTCCAAAGCAACCAGGCAACGAGAGGAAGCAATTTCTCTCCAGCCAGCTGAGGGATGGGGCTGAGGTGTCTACATAGAGTCAAAGCCTTCTCCCACCTGCCGGTGCACCATGCCCAAAGCTCTGCTGACCAGTGAGCGGGCCCAGGCAAAGCCAATTGATGTTTTCAAGCTCCGCTCAACTAGGGGTTACCGCCTCAATCACATGCCTTTAGAGCATAAAGCCTGTGACTTCTCAGGAATACAAACCGATGGCCTTCCAGGGACTTAAAAGACTGAAAGGGGGCCTCCCAGATGGTCGTCCCCACAGGGAGCCCAGGTACAGTCGCCAAACCTAAAAGCCAACAACAGCCCCGTCCGCCTATCTGTCTGGTGGTGGTGGTGGAGGGGGGAGAAGGGGGTCATTTCTTAGTCCGAGATGCTCTAAACCCCCCTGGTGTCCAGTTTCTTAGTAAACGATTCAAGCTTGGGCTGTGCAAGGCCTAGAGGGGAGGGCCAGGGAGGGAACAGCAAGGAGCCAGAAATCCCTGTCTCCGGAGTTTTGTTTTTGTTTTTGAACCCTCTTGGCCTCTTTCCCTCCTGATGGCTTGCTTCGGTGGTGCGCTTATGGGACCGACAGGGCGAATCCTGTCTTCCGGGTGGCGTTCAGCTCCAACTGTATAATTTTGCATGACTATTGCGTCACCGTTGGAGTCGTCGTGGCTCCTCCAGAGGCCTCCTTGTCTTCCCCAGCACCGGGCCTGTGGA